TCTAAGACGTTTTATAAATATCCCTTCACTCTTCATTTCTCCTCAGCTTGCATTCAAACTGAACCATTGTTCACAGCCTACCTCCACTCCACAAGATGCACAACCACTCTTTCCAAAGTAGACACAGTAAGCAGAATCTCAATTCCACTTAAATGCAACTCTAAGAGTGGAAACACTTATATTTCCTATAAGACACAGAAAGTAGATTCATGGTTCTGAGGGTCTGAGAAGAGGAGAATGGACAGTGACTGCTAACGAATATACAGGGGTTTGTTTTAGGGGACAGGCTGGGGGAATACTGAAACATTCTGGATCTAGATTAGATAGTAGTGGTGATTAAACAGCCTTGTGTAGATGCTGATACCACTTGGCTATACTCTCTGGAAGGTGAATTTTGGAGCAAGTAACTCAGTTATAAAGGAGTATTCCAGGGCTGGGCCATGGCTCAGCTGTTAAAGGCAAAAGCTCATAACTTAAGGTCAAAAGTTTGATTTCCTGTACCCACATCAAAGCCTATCTCACCAGCTTCTCTTTTGAGGCTGGAAAGATAGCTCAGTGGTTAAGGGAAATGGCTGCTCTTGCAGAACCCTGGATTGGGTTCCTAGCACCCACATTGTGGTTGACAACCATTTAGGACTCCTATTCCAGGAATCCGATAATGCCCTCTTCTGACGTCTTACGGCACCAGGCGTGCACATGGTGCACAGACAAGCATGCAGGCACAATGCTCATACTTATAAAATAATGTGAATAAATCATTTTTTAAAACAAAATTTAAGAGTATGACAAACTAGCCATGCATCATGGCAAATGCCTTTAATCCAGCACTTGGGAGGCAGACACAGGCAGATCTCTGAGTTTGAGGCCAGACTCATCTACAGAGTGAGTTTGAGGACAGCTAGGACTACATAGAGAAACTCTGTCTCGAAAAAACAAAACAAAAAACAAACAAAAAACTAAAACCAAACAAACTAACTAAACAAGAATATGACAAACTGGGAATCACAGGTGGCCATTTTCAAACCCAGGGGAAACATCCAGAATGCAGCAACCACACCAAAAGCATGTATTTGGGAAAATATGAAACATATTTCAATTTATGCTCTCCAACTTATAACTTCCAGATCTTATTAATGTGTCTAAAAATTGGCTCTCCCTTATAGCATGAGAGCATTGTCTATGTTGTGGGACAGTTTGGGAATTAAATGAAAGAACAAACTAGTGTGCCCTTTTAATGAGTCCCATTAGCTAGCTGATATTACCTTTCTATTATTATTATCATTGCTATTATTTTTCTATCTATTCCTTTTAATAATTTTCTTATTTGACATTTATAGTACAGAAATAGTGAATGTCTCTTGTTTTTGTGAGGATAATCTTAGGGAATTCTCTAGAAATATGGCTTGAAGGAAAGCCTGCCTTTAGAATACTGGGATGTCTACTGTGCCTCCTCCATGAAACGCTAGCGTGGAAAGCTGTGCTAGGCTACCCAGCTGCAGAACTATTTGCTCAGGGCACCCTCTTGTGGTAACTCGCAGTAACTGCTTCTGCTCTGCAAGTACCAGACATTAACAGGTCAAGGTGTGACTCTTAGGGAGTTCCACCCCCTAATCAGAATCTGCATCTTCTCTGCTCCCAGGAGACTTGTATGTGTGCTGAGTTTGAGAAATGCTGATTAAGAAAACACGACGTCGTTGATGCGACACCGTTTCTTGAGTGTCTGTAGTAGGAACTGGAAACACTGCTGTAAATATCCTTTCGATAGAGTTGTTAGCTTAAAACTTTATAATAACTACAATGAATCCTGCACCTTTAGGCTGTTTGCCTTAGGCTCCTTGCAGTGTGACTATCAGGTGTTTCTGCTGTGATCTTGGCATGAGTTTGCTCTTTGATGGACAGAAAAATGTCATAGTACCCAAGAGACAAGCACCTTGGGCTCATTTTTCACTGGTAACGACAGAGATCAAGACGAGCTCACCTCCAAGATCCCAGAACCACTGCCTGCACAGTCGCATTCATATTCTTTTACACTAATTTTGTTTTGATGCTGGTAACTGAAGCCATTTTCATGTATCTCATTGTATTCATTTTGTATGTCCTTCCAAAGACGTGTGCAAACAAGCTGTGCTTTAAATGTGTTGCCTTCCAAGGTTTTTAACAAAAAAAAATATTTTTTTATGCTGACTTAAAAATAATTAATAAGGGGCTGGAGAGATGGCTCAGAGGTTAAGAGCACTGACTGCTCTTCCAGAAGTCCTGAGTTCAATTCCCAGCAACCACATGGTGGCTCACAACCATCTGTAATGAGATCTGATGCTCTCTTGTGGTGTGTCTGAAGACAGCTACGGTGTATTCATATAGATAAAATAAATAAATAAATCTTAAAAAATAAATAAATAATAAAAGATTGATTTTATAAGTGAATTATATCCTAATTTTAACAATAAAAGATAAAAACAAAGAGGGGTGTAGTAAGCTGAGAATCATAGGCCATGTTCTAAATCAAACAGGAAAAGTCCAAGGAATGTCTAATCTCAGCACTCAGGGGGCTGAAGGAAAAGTCTCAAGCTCAAAGGCAACCTGTACCACATAGAGAGCCGATGACTAAAGAAAGTAAGGAGGATGGATGTCGCAGGGAGAGAGGCAAAGACTCATGTCAAGGGAGAACTGAGAACACAAAGTTGTCCGCTGACTGTCAGATGTGTGCTGTGGCATGCACACGCACATGTGCATACACACACACACATGCAGATAGATAGATAGATAGATAGATAGATAGATAGATAGATAGATAGATAGATACATACATACATACATACATACATACATAGATACATAGATACATAGATACATAGATACATAGATAGATGATAGAGTAAAAATTTTAAAAATCAACCAATTTGACTTTATTTCTAAAACACTTAATACAAAAACAGCAAACGTACACTTTTCTCAAGCTCACACGGCATATGTTCAGTGTTCAACAGCATACAACATGCTGAATGTCCCCTAAGGCTTGTGCTCCAAAGACCTGGTCCCCAAATCATTTTCCTATTAAAAAGTTTTGGAACCTTTAGGAGACAGAAGCTAGCAGAAGAACATTAGGCCATTGGGAGATACCAAGACCCCAACCCCTTGTCTCTCTTCAAACTTCAATGTGTTGTGCTTTGATTTTCGTTCAGTTAAAAAAAAAAACTATTTTATGGTTTTCTTTGTTCTCCTTTGACTGGTGGTTAGGTTAAAACTATGTTGTTTCATTTCCAGGTATTTAAAGAGCTTTCGGATTTTTTTGTCTATTGTCATTATTGATTTCCAACTTCATTCCATCACTGTCAGACGCGATGCTCTGCAGCATCTGAATATTCTGATTAAGTTTTTTGACATCTGAGATAAGCTCGTCTTGAGTCAGCGTTCCACTGCTGTGACAAAACCCTCAGTAAACAACTTAGCAGGAGGAAAGGCTGGAAGCTTCAAAGTTTCAGTCTGTGGGTCTTGGTCCTGTGGCGTCACAATACATCATGATGGGAGGCATGGCAGGGGAGGCCTAGTCACGACACCACACCCAGGAGGTGAAGAGAGAGACAGAGGGTGGTGAGACGGCTCAGCCAGGAAAAGCTCCTTGTTGCTAAGTATGATGATCTAAATTTGATCCCCAGAGCCAAAGAACTGATTCCTGCAAATTGTCCTCTGACCTACACACACACACACACAGAGGGAGAGAGAGAGAGACAGAGAGACAGAGACAGACAGAGAGAGACAGAGAGAAACAGAGACAGAGAGACAGACAGAGAGACAGAGAGAGAGAGACAGAGACAGAGAGAGCACAATCAATTGATTTGTAATAAAAAATTAAGATCTTCTGAGAAAAAACAAACAAGCTTGTCTCTCATTTCTATGAAAGTATAAGAATAAGAGTTCAAATACTACAACATCCCAAATGTACAGAAATAAACCTAATATCTACTATGAACACCCAGCTGATTCCACACAGCTGCCATGATCCAAAAACAGAGCCCAGAGTAACTTTCTTCCCTGACAGTCTGTGATGGGTTGCAAGGTTTGGAGGAAATCCAGTTGTGTCACAGCTGTTGTCATTTCTCCAGGGACAGACAGAGGCCTTTATTAAAATGGCCATGCCCCATGGGCTATCAGGAAATGTCAAGATCCTCACATAGAGCTCCTCAGAATAGGGTTTCTCTCAGAAAGAGTTCTGCAACTCTGAGAAGCAGGTAGAGAGGAGCAGCTGGGAGTCTGTGTCCAAGGCTCACCAGTGAGTCCTGAAACAGATCACAACCATGCTTTTGGTTACTGTCCTGAAAAAACACAGGCGCATGTACCAGACCACAGACCAGCCAGAGTTTACGTTTCAGGAGACTAGCTAGAAGGAACAGTAAGATTATTCATTGCTAATTATGGTCTCTGTTTAAAAGTGTGTGTGTGTGTGTGTGTGTGTGTGTGTGTGTGTGTGTGTCTGCGTGTATGTCTATGTGTGTGTCTGTGTGTATGTCTGTGTATCTGTATCTGTGTGTGTGTGTCTGTGTGTGTGTGTGTGTTTGTGTGTGTGTGTGTGTCTGTGTGTATGTGTGCCTGTGCATTCACTCTTGCATGTATGCATGTGCACACATGTGTATTAGAAAACTCATGGGTAAATTTCTAAAACTAAGCGTTGGTAGAAAAGTAATCAAGGATGCAGAACATCTTTTAGAATGCTGAAAATGGTCCTTAAATTGATCACATAGATTACATAAAGATAGAAGATACATAAGTATATTAAAACCCACCAAATGCATGTGTAAATGGGTGTGCTTTCATGTTTTACTTCAAATATTTATTTATCACAAAAGCATGTCCATAGGGATTTTTAATGAGAAAAATTCCCTTGGAGGGTTCATACAGTTGCTGTCCGTTGGCACTGGATCATAGAATGTTCTGGCATCACCAGTGATGTCAGAGAAGGCTTTTGGTTGGCCTCTGGTGACAGTTTGAATCCTCAACAGTCATACTGGTGGCAGGGGCACAGAGCAGAGCCTCTGGGCTGCTGGCTCAGGGGACATGTCCCTGAGCATTTGAGGAGAGGAGAGGGTGTGGTCAGCTGTTTCGTTTTGGAGCTCTTCCTGACTCTTAGAAGACTGAGATGTGCCTGGCTGCAAAGAAGACAAAGTTGAAGTCACTCTTCTAGAAACTGCCTGGTGCATATGTCATCACGACAGAGATGAAAGGTTGGGTGTATGGTAAGAATATTGCTTCTTAGGCTCTGTTCTGGTGACTGAAGCAAGCTAGAAGTGAGAACTCAGGCCTTATGGGTAGAAAAAGTCCTGGGGCACAGGAGAGGCTTCTGGGTTTAGTGTCCTTCCTAGCTATCTTCCAATACCGGTGGCCTCAGGGGATTGAAAAGTAGCCTCAGAATCAGTTTTCCATGCCCTCAAACTCCTTTACTAAGAAGGAAACAGAGTCCTGAGAATTGAAATCTAGATGATGAAGAATTTCAAACAAAAACCTGAGTTCAATTTTTTTTTCTTTCCAACTTATTAGCCAGATCAGTGTCAAGGAGGGCTTAAGCTTGTCAGGCCTCCATTCCTTTGTTAAATGTTAAATACAGTTTAGTCCAGTGGCCCCTGGGTTACAGGGTTGGATGGAGAGTTATGTAAGACAGTCCTGCCACCTGATGGATGTTCTCAGAGGGAGCATACGCTGTGCACCCTGTCGGGCCTCACTCTGGCCTTCGCTTTTGAGACAGTGCATTGCAGTGTGCACTCTGGCCTCTCCTTACTCCTTTTTCTGTGATCTAACTTGAGGAGCATAAAGAGGCAGCTGTGGTTTTCTACTCTGCTGTTGGAAGTAGGAATGGGGCAGCACACCATGGTAATAGTATTGGTGACTCTCTAACCTACCTTTGTGTGAGTTCTCCTGTACATGTGTGCACATTATATACATGTGTGTTTTTGTGCATGTGTGTGCAGGTCCGTGTGTATGCCAGAGGCTAATCTTGGGTGCTCTTCCTCAGGACTCTTGTATACCTTGTTTTATTTGTTTGAGACAGGGTCTCTCTCCAGTCTGGACCTCGCCAAGTAAGCACAGGACCTGCCCACCTCTACCTCCCTTGTACTAGGGTTACAAGTGTGTACCAATACCTGGCTTTTAGTTTTTGGTTTGTTTGTTTGTTTGGGTTGGGTTTTTAACATAGGTTCTGGGGATTGAACTCTCATCCTTGTGTTTGCATGGCAAGCACTTCACCAGCTGAACCATCTCCCCAGCGTCTGTACCACACTCTTTAGAAGCAGCCGGTAGCAGGAACACAAAGCAACAGATTGCAATTCTCTCCACAACCAACACCCACTAGAGGACACTAGAGCAGTGTCTGCCACCACTTCCTTCCCAGAACCTTCTCGCTGTATGGGAAGCATGGTGAACAGGGAAAATAGAAGATGGAGATTTTCCCAGGTCCCAGCCAGACCTAGAGGGCAGAGTACAGGTGGGAGCAGGGTCACACAGAGCATGTATGCTGGGCCTGAGGCTTTATCACAGATGACTATTCTTCCCAGGTGGCCTCACCACTCCCATTCCAATGCCACTCCACCCAGGGTGGTGTTCCTGATGGAGCTAAGTCTCTGGTTGCTATTTGCCTCCTCAACATTTGGCTTTGGACTAAGAAGCAGCTCAAGGGAGCTGGGGAGGTGACTCTGGTTGAGCACTGGCTACTCTTGCAGCAGTTCACCTCTTAGAACCCGCATGATGGAGTACCAACCTCTGAATTCCAGCTTTGGGGGATCCAGTGCTCTCTTCTGGTCTCCTCGGGCACGGCGCACTCATGCTGCACTTACAGATGTGGGCAAAATGCTCATAGACATAAAATAAAAATAACTGTAAAAGGCAACTCAAAACTCAGGTGGCCAGACAAACCCTGGAGTCACCCATCTTCCCAAACATCTTTAGATTTTAGTGTCCCTGGTTGGCTCCGGCTCCAAAGTCACAAGAGAACTGGAACTTGATGAGAGCCTCCTAAGTCCATTTCATGTCTTTCCTGCTAAACCTTCTGTTCCAGGACTGGTCTCAAGACACAGCTGACCCTGGCTGTGTGTTACTGCCAGGGAAAAGAGGAAAAAATTTAGGAAAGATTCACTCAGGTGAAACTAGAATCATCCCTTTGGTCATCAGATCTCTGTCTTTGGTCTCTTAACGTAGAGCATGGCTCAGCTTACCAGACATCACATCAGATCCTGGATCCTCCCAGCGTCGCCTGGATTGGCTGCCCTGGAGACACACTTTGCGATCCCTGCAAGGTATTCTGATTACCCTGCTCTATGGAATAGGTGGGTGGTGTGGTCTCACCAGGCAGCTTATATGCGCACGTGGGGCAGACCTTCAAGCCTGAGAAGAGCAGCCTGCAACAGGATCCCCAGCCTCCCAATGCCCCTGGATCAGGGTGGATTCAATAGAGGCAGGGGGCAATTTTATGATGGTAGGATTAGTACATAGGCTTTTCCTGTTTGAAAGCAAATGCCCTTATGAGGGCAATGTGGCCAGGGGTTGTGGGAATGGCTACAAAGACACAGTGTTTATTAAGCAATACAGCAGAGAGTACATGGAGCGGCCCCCTCTTAGAACATAGAGAATGCTGTGTGATAGGGAGAAAGAGGAAAAGTCTGAGGCATGAGACAGTCCAGGTCCTCACAGGGCACACATGTTGAAACAGTGGCCAGGGAAGGAGAGAGAGAGAGAGCTGGCAGCCAGGCAAGGTGCCCAGGGAAGTGGTTCCCAGGGAACACAGTAAGGGCAGCTGAGGCTGGGACATCCCTGAGGCCCAACCCAGGTCACATGTAGCTGCCAGTCTCTGGGGGACACATGGGCAGACACAGGCAGGCAATGGGGCTAGAGTTCAGAGAGGTACAGAGTTTCAGAAAACGCAGCTGAGCAGTCTTGTCCTCACCCAGCTTTTCCTTAGTAAGTCGGCCAGGTGAGACTTTCCAGTTCACTGCGAGAGGCTGGACAGTGGAACTCAACCCTAACTATGGGTGTCTCTGTGCTCACCGCATTCATTCCTCGAAGTCCTGGGGACACAGGCCTTGTGCCAGAATGCTCATTAGCCAAGTTAGACACTAGTGTCACGGTCCCAGTGCTTGTCCTGGGAGGCAGACACTTCCACCAGCCTGTTCTATGTAGCATGCCCTGGCCTTGAGAAAGAATCAAGGGTATGGACCGCCAACTCCCAAATTCTCAAACTCTTGTCCAGTTGCACCTTGGAGTCACCTTAGAATTTGTCAAAGGCTCTTACGGAGCCTTACCTTGACCTTAGAGACACCCAAGAACTGAGCAGGCCAAAACTGTTGCCCACCGGAACCTGGGCCTCTCTTCCAACTATTATCAGCTTCACCTGCCCTTTACCTTGGCTCATTCCCAGCAGGAGCCTGTTTCTCTGATGTCACTCCTGCCTCTCCCGTCATGAGTTCATGGGCTTCCAAGGTAACCTAGAATATTCTAGCATCTCCACTTGGTCTACAGTTGCAGACTCCCAGTATTACCACAGGATCGTGCAGACGGTTTGCTTGGTGTCTCCAGCCTTGGCCGGGCCTCTGGGAGGAAATAAGAGCTGGTTTTCCATTAGAAGTGTGGGGTAGTTGCTTATGTGATCACACGGAGATCATGCACCTTGCTGCCTATTGGACAGCCACTGGCCACTATGTTAGCCCTAGGACGTGAAATTGAAAATACATTAAAATTAAGTGCAATTTAGAGCTAGAGAGATGGCTCAACGGTTAAGTGTACTTACTGCTCTTGCAGAGAATGTGGGTTTGGCTCCCAGAATTCAATCAGGCTCAGAACTGCCTATGACTCCCATTCTGAGGAATCTAACACTTTCTTTTGGCCTTGGAAACCACCTTTGTACATGTGTGGTACATGTAAACTACACACACAAACACACACACACACAAATTAAAAATAAGTACATTTTTTATTTTAAAAATATAACTTAAAAATCTACTATTTAAAATCGACTTCCCAATTGGAATGTTCCTATTTTAAATACTTGGTAGTTAATATGCAACTAGCAGACACTTGGGGTGCTCAAAAGCCATCTCCAGCAACTCCTCCAGAAGAGCCTTGAAGCCTGGTGATCGTCATTCATGGCACCTAGGTAGGGAGCCAAACCACTGCCTTGCCCATAAATCACTCTGACCCTGACTTGTCTTTTATTTTCTGCCACCAGCTCATTCCAGTCCCCAGAGTGCCTGGAACCCTTGCCACTGAGATTCAAGAAGAATGAGATAAGTCCTAAGAATGTGGTGGATTGGGCTTGAGTCCCCTCACAAACATATACTTGATACCCAGCAGGAGACTTTGCACGCTGAACCCTCCCAGTGTGATTCCCCACAACGACAGGACATTGCTGACTGGAACCAGAGTGTCCCCCTCATTTCCAAACCATGTTCTGGCCAACTTATCATCAGACACAGGTCTCTAGTAGCTTCTGGCGTTTCAGAGACCAAGGAAGGTCAAGTTTGCTGAAAGTCCTAGATTCCTTTGGCTTCACTACACTCAGAACTTACATTAGGAGAACCCTCGTTCTCTCATGAGCTCCCGCACAGCCCACTGCTCTGGCTATGCTCTGCTGAAGCAGTCTGCCCATCGTGGCCTGCTAACTGGTCTTCCATGGAGGCACCGAGGCTGTGCCACCTTGACCTTCAGAGCCATACCCCACAAGGCTGTCCAGATGTGGCCTCCATCCTCCTTGTAAATCTTCTGCTGTCTGTCCTCAGCCCTGAGGCTGGAGTGTACCCCAATTGCCTTGGTTTCTGCCTCCCTACTTAACAACTGGCTCATTTGCCATGCACACACAGCTTCCAGATATCCTGTTCTTTCTTCTGGCTGTGTGTAGGTGCTGCTCAGCCACTGCTTCTGTGGCCCCCAAACCCAAGGGAATGGGGATCTGACTTGTTCTCCATTTCTGGGCTGCTTTTTCCATAGCTGACCCATGATGAAGTGGGAACCAAGCCATCAGAGCCCTTCCTATTGACTGCATTCCAAGTTCCAGGCTGTAGATACCAGCCACCTGAGATTCCAAACCAGTATCTTCTCTTTTCCTTACATAGTCTCCACAAGAGAAGCCAGGTCCCTCCGTTTTTGTAGGTTTGTCCCTCCATGTCAGACAGGATGTTTCTAATGGGCACATCCTTCAGTAAAGCCCTCAAAGGGCCTCACCCTCTAGGGAGTTGGAGGCTCTTTCCCTTCAGTTGGGAAGTTGCTGGAGTCTTTCCCTTTTGGATCTACAAAAAGTGGGGACCAAGGACCTTCTTGCTGTTTCATAACAGAAAACAGGCTAAGCCCTTGTGGAAAGGACAGAATGAAAAAAAAATGTGGAAGAAAAGTAGATGGTGAGAAAGAATTGACACAATTTTTCTTTGACGTCACGCTATCTTGGTCTATTCCTACTGGCTACTGCTTTGTTTATTACTAAAGAATCCATGTGAATGGATTGAAAACAGGCAAGAAAGACGATGCTCACAAGGAGACAAGCAAGAAAGCGGAAGTGTCTAAAATGGACCTGTGTTCAGTTTCACAGACAGCCAAGAAAACGAAGCCTCTCAACCTGGGAGGCAAAGTTTGAAAAGGACAGTCACTTCTGGGTAGTGGATAACTACTTTGTCAAGAAATCAAAGGGTTTGGGAACTTGCCCTCGCCTTGTGCAACTTGACACATTTTATATTTATGAATGAATGTTGCAAAAATATGAGGTACTTGGGTCATGGGTGAGGGTTTCTCAGGGATTAAAAAAAAACCAGATGCAGGACACACGGCCCACCCTGCTCCCTCCCCTCCAGTCCCATGGGCCTCAAGCAGTGGTCAGCACACAGCCATGACAGAAAACATTTTTCTCTGTTTGTATCCAAGACAGAAGCAGTCTGTCCTTCTGTCCCCTCCCATCCCTGCCTCCCTCTGGAAAGGCAGGAGAAAAACCTTTGTTTCTTGGTAGAAAATCCTGGATTCTCACCCTAGCCTTTTGGAATATAATAAGCCTCTCTCCAAAAGCCATAATTTGTCTCGAACTTTTGAACCAGAGGGAGGTCTCCAAGGGGTAGAATGGAAATACCTGGTGAGGTGGGAAAGTAGCTGATCCTTCTCCTGACATCTGAAGAACTTCATTTGCGGTGTTAGTCTGGGCTTTAACTACTTGGTCCTCTTAGGGAGTTAACTGAAAGTTTCATTATCCTTGTGGATCAGAGAAATAAAATAAATGGGTGGGGTAAAAAAAAATCTGAGCTTTAGAGAAAATCAAGGCAAACTGCCATTAGCTGGCCATCCAGGTCTGTGTCCCAGAAGTATTAAGACACTCTGAAGGGCTTTGGTTTACCAAAATATAAAACAAAACCCATCACACCGAAGTTGGATGGGGCGAACTAACAGACAGAAAAGAGCCCAAGAGAAGGCACTAGAACCAGAGAGTTTCCCCACTTGGAAGTCTCACAAAAATACTAAAACCCGAAAACTGTAATGTATATGCAGAGGAACTGGCTCAGAACCAAGGTTTTCACTAAGTTGCATAGAGTGTAGTTAGGATTTTGCAGATGGAAATGTGCATCTTTACAGTTCTTTGTGGGGAGGAAGAGACCCAGGAAAGTCAGCTCTTTGACTGACACGACTTTGACTCCAGAAATTCCACTTTGTGGAATCAAGACGAAGATGAAGCATGAGGTGACGAGGAGAGACAAGAATTACAAGTGACCCTAAAGCAAAATATAAAAGGAAGCAACAGAAGTCGCAGCATGGTGGGCCTCCAGAGAGCCACTGGGACTGGAAGCAGTGCCCAGCCCCACCCTGCCCCACGCCAAAGGCTACAACCTGTGTTTCCTAGCTTATTTTTTTCTTCTGTCAGTCGTAAAGATGGAAACAGTAAATGGGGTTTTTTTTTCTTCCCCAATTTGACCAGTTCATGGCAATGTTTTGGTCTTTCTTCCAGCTTTGAGAATGTGTCCAGTAACAGACCTGAGAGAACAGTTGTGACTACAGACCTGAGCTCATGGGGTGCTATTGCATTGTGCTAAATTGTTCTTAAATGATCCTTCTATATCTTGATCTGGAATACTTTTCTTTGTCTACTTAAATGAAAACTGCAAAACACAACTCTTGTCCCAAAAGGAATAAGAGAATTTGTCTTGAGCCAAATATGAATGACCAATGCTCAGAAACTAATGTGGAATTTCTCTCAAATGTGATGGTACTCTCCTCCATGGAAGAGATTACATGAATGTCTGTACATATAGAATGAAAAGTCATGTGTGCATGCTTTTGCCCAGTACATTGGTGGGGACATTAGGTACACAGTCACAGAAGAAAAAGGAACCCTCTTCAAAAGGACTCAGGTTGGGGCTGGGGGTTGGTGGGAGTTAGTGGTCTGACACAGTGAACACAATGCAAAAGTTTTGCCTGATGGTATTAATGGCATTGGATCAGATACGGATGGAGACTGGTCATTGATGGTTTCCATAGAGGAATTGACATTATCTAGAGATCATTTTAGCACGACGTACAACCGCTCTGGTCTCCCAGCCTGGATTTCTGATTGGTCAATTGCTATAGAATCTTCCATGTGAGTGTAGCCTTTTCAGAAATTGACAATTCACAGCATGGTGCAAGATGTGAAGACACAGCAATATTGTCGTTGGAAGAGTGGGGACAAGAGTTTAAATGCAGCCAAGGGGAGTACGCACGCCTGGCTCAGTGCCTGAGAAATTCGGTGAGTTTCTGTTAAGGAACAAACTGCATCTGCGAGTAGACAAAGGCAGGGTTGTTGACAGGAACAAGTGAAAGTATTTTTTTTTAGGCACTCACTTATTCACTCAAATCTACTCTGTGCCAGGCACTGTATTCTTCCCAAACATACGATACTGGGCAGCAGCCTTCTCTCCAGTTGTAGTGATGAGGCTTTAGAGTCAGACATGTGTCCAGTGATGTCAGGCGGCAGAATGTCTTGATGAAAAACTAAAGTGGGTGTCCCAGAAATGGGGCTATTTTAAATGAGGTGATGAGGGAAGGCTTCTCTTTAAGGGACAATAACTGAGCAGAGACCCAAGGAAAGAGGGAAGTCAAGTGCTATGGCGGCAAGCACCATTTTGTGGTTCGCTTCTATTCTCCAGAGGCTCTGGTTAATAGCACAGCACACCCAACCCTAGTATGTCCTGGGCAATCTAGTGTGAGAAGACACCTGGATCCATAGCCTGCCACCTTAGTTTCTCTGCATTCCAATATAATATTTAATATTTAATATATAATATATTCAATTGGTAATCAAAAATTGGTAAAGAAAAATGGATTTATTTACAGTTTGGACAAAATAGGAAAAGACAAAGACTTTGATTTTCTCCTGCAGCTCCCTATAGTGTGTGTCACCATATGTGCACAGAACACACATAGGAAGTGTGAGACTCAGGACCCTGCCAGTACAAAGTTCTGGTGCCCGTCTCTCTCTCCAGGGAGATCCTGGAGAAGTACTAATTTTGGTTTACTTCCTCTGGGTTTGGAGGTACCATGTTCCACCACCACAGAACAGAGGAGCAGCTACCATCTCCCTTGTCTCTCCTGGAAACATACCAGTTGCTGTTTATTACCTAGAACGGCACTGTTCCGGGAAGTGTAGGGAACGGGAGCAAAAAGCACTCTGGTGTGTTCCAGGTTCAGCTCCTGCTTTCCTATTGTGTGACCTTAACCCTGACCCCTCTGTAACACTATCACCAAAACAAGAAATAATTTCACCTATCCCACAGAAATAGTGCATTTTAAAGACTTCATCAATGTCTGGTATAGAAGTGTTAAATCTGTATCTTACTGTTATTATTGCTACTAGAGACACAGTGCTCTGTGAACTTAGAGAATTCTTTTCCCCAAGTGTATTGAGTATAATTAACAAATAAAGCTTTCATGTATTTAAGATAAGAGTGTGGTGCTGTGATCTATGCACTGGGAGATGATTACCAAAACCAGGCCTGTTGATATCAAGACCACAGCTTACCTTCTGTGTCGGGAGATATCTAAGATCTCCCATCTTGGCATATTGCCAAGTGTCCAGTAATCATGACTCGCTGCAGTCAGCCTCACGCTAGCCAGTCTCTAGAGCTAAGTCTTGTGACTGATACCTGTTCCCTTTGACAAGAGCTCTCCACTTCTCACACACCGATTGGCAGAAAGATTGATCCTTCTACTGTGTGTTCCTATGAATTGAACTTTTTAAAATTACACACATAACTGAGTGTCCTGATTTCCAGTTTCTGGGACAAATTCTCTGACAAAAACCAGCTGGGAGAGAGGGTTTACTTTAGTTCACAATTCCAAGTTACGGCCTGTTATTGCAGAGAAGTTGGTTAGTTTGCTCACTTCCTGCCTATGGAATTCTGCTGCCCACATGCAGGGTAGGTCTTCCCACCTCAAAACCATCAGGACAGGCTTCCACAGGCCAACATGAGCAACAGAATGAGACCCTCTTCCCAGGTGACTCTAGACTATGTCAGATTGACAAAACTTGCCAGTAAAGGGAAATATTGTGTCTTCCTGTGCCAGGCCTCTTTTACTTAGCCACAATGTCCTTCCAGATTATCCACCTTTACATCAGATGTCAAGATTCTCCTTTTAGGGTTGAGGATTGTTCCACGACATTTCCTCACATGTTGTACTAGTTCATCAAGCATGGAACGATCGGGTTGTTT